TTTCAGGGCCCCCCATTCCTCTTGTCTCCTGCCTGCCTCCTCAGGGATACGGAGATCATAAGCCCAAGTCTTCCACTGCGGCCCAAGAGGTGAAGACCCTGGATGGCGTCTTCACAGAGCAGGTGAGCGGGGCTCCAGGGAGCGCGACCCGCGCACTGCCACCTCCTCAGGCGGCGTCCCCACTGCTGGTGGGTCACAGAAGGGGGCAGGAGCTGTCCGCCACTGCTGGGCTCAGACATGGGCCTTGTGCGTGCCAGATGCGCCAGATGCTGCCACCGGCCCGGTCTCCTCGCAGAGGGGCAGACTCACCCCTGCTGCTCCGACCCCCAAGAGGCCAGCCGAGGGGCGCACCCTCCAGGGGGCGAAGTGGGGGTTCTGGGCCTGGAGGGACTGCGAGCAGGGAGCCCTGTGCGGTGGCCAGGACGTGCATTCAGGGGCCCCGGGGATGCTGGGGCGCTCGGGGTCCTCCCACACAGCGCTGCCTTTACTCCCCAGGTCGCCATGGGCTACTCACACTCCTTGGTGATCGCGAGAGACGAGAGTGAGACCGAGAAAGAGAAGATCAAGAAACTGCCAGAGTATAACCCCCGAACCCTCTAATGCTCCCGGAGGCTCATCCCGCCCCGCACCTGCGGCAGCTGTCATTCCCACGGAGACTCGTCCCACTCCGCACCTGCTGGAGACTCGTCCCACCGCACACCTGCGGCAGCTGTCATTCCCGCGGAGACTCGTCCCACCCCACACCTGCACTCGCTGCCGTCCCGCGTGCTCTGGGACGGAAGTCAAAGGAGAGATTTAAAAAAGCAATGGTTGACCGAAGGTGCATTTTTTTTGTTAGACTCCCTGAGGTTCCGTTTTGTAAGTGATTCAACGTCAACTACCTTTTCTGTATGCTTTCCAAAGTGGTTTTTTTTTTTTTCCGCCGCCCTCAACGTTTAATTAAAATATTTGCTCAGAGTTGACTTACCATTCCTACAAAAGAGGCAAAAACTTTGAGCAATCTAGCTTTTTTCCTTTTTTTTTTCTCTTTCTTTTTTAAAAGTTTTTCTCCCTCCCGGGACCCCCATACACTTCTCAACACACCCCTTTCCGGTTGTAATTAGCATCGTGATCCGAATGGGTGCCTGGGAGAGCAGCCACCGTTTACTCAGAAACAGATGTCCCCTACGGGAACCGGCAGCGTCTAAGCAAAGACCGTCCCCATCCTGAATCACGCCCGCCTGCTTTGGAAGCATCTGGGCCCTCCTTTCCTGCTTTCTCTTGTGACCGGCCCAGGCCAGCCTTTGTTCTTTTTCCCCTTGGCTGCTTGCAAGCCCTACTGCCTTTTGGCTGCAACATTAATAGAATCTGCCGTCCCTGGGGCTCTGGGGTCTGTGTTTAGCCATTTATATATCTACTTTAGCTGTAAAAGAAGTCCAAATGAAATCAGGTGATTGCAGAACTTCCAGTGGGGACTTGGGGGCAGGAGGAAGGGGTGGGGTCACACAGACCTGGGGACGTTGGATCTGGTTCCAGAGGGGCTCCAAGCCCGCTCCGGTGAGCCAGGGCCATCTCGCCAGCACTCGCCATTAGAGATTGATCAGCCAGCAGCAAAAAGCGTAATCTAGAGTCCTTGCAGAGAAGGGACCAGCCCTTGACGTGCCGCCTTTCACGGCCTCGAGCTCCCCTGTCTGTCCCCCACCGGCTGGGTCCTGCTGGACCAGCCCGCTCTGCCCCAAGATTCGGCGTCTGTTCTGCGCCCAGCTTCCTAGTCACGCACGCTTGGCTGTGGTACCAAATAGTCGGGATCACTGAAGACGTCCCCCTTCCCCACGTGTCAGCGCAGACACGGTGACTGCCGCCCCGGCCCTCTGCCCAAGCGCGTCACCAGTTTGCACTGCTCTGCGTGAGTTACGAGGTGCCTTTCCCGGAACCCTCCTCTCACTGGGACCCGAGAGGGTCAGCTCTGGCTGGGGCTCTTGGTTTCGAGAGGGTCTGGACTGGTTTGGGTGCTTTAAAATAGATTTTTTAGTTCAGTGGTGCTTTGGGGTGGGGAGAGGGGTTTAGAACTCCAGGGTGAGACTTGGGTGGATGGGAAAGTTGAATATTGGTCTTTTTAAAAAAAAAATTCTTTTTTGCTTTGCTATTGTTACCGCTCGTCATTGTCTTGATGTTAAAATGCCAAAAATGATCTAATTGTTGCTCCTCCCCCGACTTGTCCCGTCACTCCGCAGGGCGGTTCTGCCTTGTCAGGGCACCTACCCTTCTCTGGCCGGGTCAGTCCCAAGGTCTGAGGGGGCAACTGTCACGCCTCTTTCCAAGATTCAGTCTGATTTCATGCTCATTTCTACTGTTCAGTCAATAGTCCAGGGGAAAAACTTCTGCAACTTGAGAGCTTCTGCTAAACTAACCTGATTTGTCCAAATCACCCCCAAACCACCATCTGACTCCAAGCTTGTGTGTGTGGGACCCCCGTTTCCCTGGACGAGTCTCTCCTGGAGACGGGGCTCATGCACACGCTTCTGGTGCCCGTGTTGCCGTTGCCCAGAGCCAAGGAACTGTTTCTAGGCTCCCCACTTTGGCAGGAGCTGCCCTCAGACATAGGCTGGGGGCTCCAGTCTGCAGTGGACTCCTCGGAAAGCCGCCACCAGCCAATTGCAGATGCTCCCCGCCAGGGCCTGGAGCGGGAGAGGAGCAGGTCCCTCGCAGACGGCAGGATGGGGTCCTGCTGTCCCCGTCACTCCTTTTCCCCAAAGGATTTGAATGAACTGCCCATAGGGGAGACTTGAGGACAAGGAGTGGGCGGGTGAGGGACAAGCACTGGGCAGGGTGCTGGCCCTTGGAAGCGTCTGCCAAGTCTTCCAGCGCAGGAGGGAGAAAGTGGACACAGGAGGAAGGTGGACGGAGGCTTAGCGCGAAGGGGAACCAGGAGGGGATTTGGTCGAAGGTGCCTGGTTTAGTGCTGTAATTGTCTTTTTTTTTATATATATATTTCTTGGAGTAAGCATTTTAAATAAACGACATCATTGTTTACTCTGTTTTGGCTTTTGCGATTCTTTGTAAGAGAGAAAACCCTCTGCGTGTCCCTCCTGCTGGCTGTCTGGGCACCCATGCTCACCCATGGGCTCCCGAGAGCAGTGTGTGGACTGAGCCATGGGGAACCAGCCACTGTTGTCTCTTAGGAGTGTGACCATGGTGGAGTTTCCACACAGCCCCTGCCCACACCATGGACTCCATGCCCCCTCACACTGGGCCAGTCGGGATGTTCCTGAAAGGGCGGTCTCCTGCACACAGCCCAGATTTGCAAAGGGAGGCAGCTGATACTGGCCGGCCTGTACTGAGACTCCAGTCAGCCCCCCTGCTGGTCACCCCACACCCAGTTTTGGGGTGCTGTCTGTTCTGTGTGAACTCTAACCCTCTATAGCTTGACCCCTGACCCTTGAGCATAACCCTGGCGACAGCGGCAGGCAGCTGCAGCTCAGAAGTTGCCTCTGCCTCCCTCGGGAAACTTGACTTGGAATGCCTCTCAACCAGTGGCAAGCCAGGACCCTGCCCCAGGCGGCCCCTGCTAGAGGGGACGCGGACATGGCTAACCCTTGGCCTCAATGCCATCTTTCAGCTCGGAAGGCTTCGGTTCCTGTTGCTTCAGTAACCGCTGTTGGTGGGCAGAGTGGGTGCTGGGATGAGTGCCAAGGACTTGCATCCAGGACCCTGCCTCTGGCTCAAGCATACAGAACACGTGTGGGCTCTGGCTTCAATGGGAGAGGCAGTAGCTGCCTGAGCTCTCCTTGTGGAGTAGGGGCTGTGTGTGTGTGGGGGGGGGGGGGGCATGGCTGGTGGCGAGGGAGGTAGGAGCTTCCGGGTCACTCCCTGTCCTGCCTCCCCACCCGCCCCGTCATGCAATAGCCCTATCAACTGGGACAGCGGACAGCAGGTCTGGACAGGGGGCATCCCCAAGCCTGGGAAGTTTCTCGAGGGTCTCAGCTGGGGACCTGCTCACACAGAGGAAGGTAAGCGCTGGCACTTGAGAAAAGTGGTCTCGGGGTGGTGGTGGTGGTGCTGGGCAGACAGGCAGGTGTGGGTCTGCTGCAGGTGAGAGACTCCTAAACCCTCAGTTACTCCCTGACTCACCCAGGTGTGCAGCTCAGGCCTGGATGGCAGGAGTGAGTGGAGCGGGGCACAGTAGGCCCAGAGGACTTGCTTCGAGGAGGAGCATCTCTGGCTGATTCTGAGTAATTTCAACCAGTGCCAGGCCCGTCCCCTGTGCTTTACTTAATACAGGACCCTCGGCCATGTGCACACTCGGGGATCCAGAGGCTCCCAGTCCTCTTGGCCTCGCTTATGGTCTACAGGCTCAGCACACGCTTCTCTATCAGGACAGTGGCTCACAACGGCGCACGGGAACGGACCAGGACGTGGCACTCACTAGAAGAGTGTGTGGCCAACGCGATGCTCATTGAGAACCCAGGCCCTGGACACCAGATTGTTGGCCTTAGCCGACGCCTTAGTGTCTCCGTTGGTTGGCGCTGTCTGGAAAGCAAGTCTCCACATGGTACAGGCCCAGTAAAAACCGCTCTAGGAGTTTACCAAGCAGGACCCAGAGCTGGCCTGGGTATAGAGTCAGAGGGGGGGGTGATCACCAGACTCCAAGACCCAGTTGGTCTCAGGCTCAGAATGGGAGTGACCCGACCACCTCTTCCTTCAAGGGTGAGGGGTAGCACCTCCGGCCTGTTCCTGCTCCCCCACACAGGACCCAGCCACACACAACCCAGTCACTCAGCTTTTTTCTCCTTCGTGAGGACCCCGTCTCCAGACCAGGAAGCTACTTCCCAGATGCGTTCAGAACAAGTGAGGACTTTAATGGGGTAAGTGGAGGCAGGTTTCCTGGTGCTGAAATGGGCATGCCATCCCACTGGCTAAGGAGGGGGCTTGTCTAGGTTCCCAGACAGGACCGGGGATCTGAATACAGATGGGTGGTCGCGGACCACTTGGTTAGGAGAGGGTGGTTGCACGAGGCCAGGTTAGGGCACCATCTGCCACCACTTGAAGGCAAAGGGCACCCTGCGGATGTTGGCACAGGAACAGAAGTCTCCGACCTCCGTCAGGTAGCAGTCGAAGTCGGCAATGAAAGTGCACTGGAGGTCCAGGGGCTCCAGCAGCTCGCGGATCCTCTCCTCCAGGCAGCACCTGCCCCGGATCTGGGGCCCAAATGGCTTGGGGATGCCAAGATTCTTGCCCATCACCACCATCTGCAACTGAGTGGGCAAAGCCGAGGTAGGGGGTGGAAGCCATGGAAGTTCCCCCTCTAAAAGCATGGTATGCAGGGGCTAGAGTGATAGCACAGCGGGTAGGGCGTTTGCCTTGCACGTGGCCAACCCGGGTTCGATTCCCAGCATCCCATATGGTCCCCTGAGCACTGCCAGGAGTAACTCCTGAGTCCAGAGCCAGGAGTAATCCCTGCACAAAGCCGGGTGTGACCCAAAAAGAAAAAGAACCCCCCCCCCAAAAAAAAAATCAAAAACTTAAAGCACGGGATGTAGAGTTCAGTGCACAGAAAAGCCAGCTGCCTTTGGATGAGGCTGGGCCAGGCACCGTGCTCCCAGCCTGTGCTCCCACAGACCACCCATCCCCCAGCAAAGCACTTCTGCGTCACCTGTCAATGGCCTGTTGTGTTTCCTAAAACAATATCCAGAGTGACTGGAGCAATAATAGGAAAGGGGGGGTCAGGGACATGGCTTAGTTCTCGAGCACAGGCCTCTCTGAGTGAGTCTCTGTGTTGATGCACCCCAAGATAAAAGCAGAAGGGGCTGGAGCGATAGCATAGTGGGTAGGGTGTTTGCCTTGCACGCGGCCAACCCAGGTTCAATTCCCAGCATCCCATATGGTCCCCTGAGCACCGCCAGGAGTAACTCCTGAGTGCAGAGCCAGGAGTAACCCCTGAGCATCGCCAGGTGTGACCCAAAAACCAAAAAAAAAAAAAAAAAAGATAAAAGCAGAAGGGCTGGAACAATAGTCCAGTGTGTAGGGCATTTGCCTTGCACGCGGCTGACACAGGTTCCATTCCCAGCACCCTGCAGGGTTGTGTCCCCCGAGCATCACCAAGAGTGATCTTTCAGCTCAGAGCAGGGAGTAAGCCCTGAGCATCACCAGGTGTGCCCTCCCACACACAAAATTTTTTTAAAAGGAAAAAGGCTGCATGGGATGGATGTGGGCTTGTAAGGAAAGTGAGTCTTGTATAAAATGGTCTCAGGAGTCCAGCTACCTCCTGAAGAGTCAGCAGTGCCCCAGGGAGAGGCCAGTTTGTAGAGGCGGGGTGAGGTTTGCATAGCAGGGGTGTCTGGCACACACCTATGCCTCTATTTCTCCTCTGCTCGGAACAAAATGCCCCTTCCTGGGGTATATGGGCTGCATAATTCCACTCAGTGGGCTTGGCTCTGCCACAGGCCTTGAAGTCAGCAGATATGCACACCCCTGCACTGCGGCCAGTGGGTCTCCTCGCAATGCCCTGAGGCGGGGACTAGCCCCTTGAGTTCTTTCTTGCCCACAGTGACCACGGAGCCCCCCGGCCCCGGTCCCAGTCCCGCTCTCCTGCCCTTCGGGAGGGACACCCCCCCCCCACACACACACCTCCCGCCTGCAGCGACCCCTTCTACCGTTAGACTGGGCAAGACACCCACTACATCCCTCACCAGGTTGGGAAAGTAGGGTCGTGCGAAGAGCTTTTCGGTCCGCTGGCTGGAGGACACGTTGGTCAGCTGCTCCAGGCAGAAGAGCTGGGGCACGTCGATGATGTCCTGCTCCTCCAGGCCCAGCTCCTGCTTCAGCAGGGCCCGGTTCAGGTTGATGCACTTCTGCAGGCGGGGACACGAGGTGCTGACTGCCGTCCCCACCCTGCGGGCCGGGGCCACACACAGACAGACACAGAGACACACACAGAGACACAGAGACACACACAGAGACACAGAGACACAGAGACACACACAGAGACACAGAGACACACACAGAGACACAGAGACACACACAGAGACACAGAGACACACACACAGACACAGAGACACACACACAGACACAGAGACACACACACAGACACAGAGACACACACACAGACACAGAGACACACACACAGACACAGAGACACACACACAGACACAGAGACACACACACAGACAGAGACACACACACAGACAGAGGCAGACAGAGACAGAGGCAGACAGAGACAGAGGCAGACAGAGACAGAGGCAGACAGAGACAGAGGCAGACAGAGACAGAGGCAGACAGAGACAGAGGCAGACAGAGACAGAGGCAGACAGAGACAGAGGCAGACAGAGACAGAGGCAGACAGAGACACAGAGGCAGACAGAGACAGAGACACAGAGGCAGACAGAGACAGAGACACAGAGGCAGACAGAGACAGAGACACAGAGGCAGACAGAGACAGAGACACAGAGGCAGACAGAGACAGAGACACAGAGGCAGACAGACACAGAGACAGAGGCAGACAGACACAGAGACACAGAGGCAGACAGACACAGACACAGAGGCAGACAGACAGAGACACAGAGGCAGACAGAGACACAGAGGCAGACAGAGACACAGAGGCAGACAGAGACACAGAGGCAGACAGAGACACAGAGGCAGACAGAGACACAGAGGCAGACAGAGACACAGAGGCAGACAGAGACACAGAGGCAGACAGAGACACAGAGGCAGACAGAGACACAGAGGCAGACAGAGACACAGAGGCAGACAGAGACACAGAGGCAGACAGAGACACAGAGGCAGACAGAGACACAGAGGCAGACAGAGACACAGAGGCAGACAGAGACAGAGGCAGACAGAGACAGAGGCAGACAGAGACAGAGGCAGACAGAGACAGAGGCAGACAGAGACAGAGGCAGACAGAGACAGAGGCAGACAGAGACAGAGGCAGACAGAGACAGAGACAGACACACAGACAGACAGACAGACAGACACACAGACAGACACACAGACAGACACACAGACAGACACACAGACAGACACACAGACAGACACACAGACAGACACACAGACAGACACACAGACAGACACACAGACAGACACACAGACAGACACACAGACAGACACACAGACAGACACACAGACAGACACACAGACAGACCATCTCCCAGGGGCTTGCTGTGTGCCAGGAAGCCGTGGCACCCAGCCTTGATGAAAGGGTGCCACACTGGGCTCCTGCTGCCAGGGGAACATGTGTTCCCGTTGACCCCCCCAGGCCTGGCTAAAGAAGGGGAGCAGGATGCTGGTGGGGTGCTTCCTTCCCTGGGAAGTGACCAGGACAGGCGTTTCCCGCCTCCTCACCTCTCAGATCCACAGAGGTTCAGCCTGAGTGTTTCCTGGACCCTGACTAGGCTTCGTCCCCGCCACCCCCAGGATACACGCCCCAGGACTCACAATATCCTTTTTCTTCTGGGCTGGACTGGGTTTTGCAATGGTCAGAGCACACCCCCTGCCCCTCAGCAAGGAGCCCTAAGTAAGGACCCAGTGGGCAGGAGAGGGTTTGATCCCTTTGTCCAGGCCCCAGTGTCACCACAGGGAGCTGGAGGGTAGCCCCGAGAAGCTCATGGCAGCTATGGGTGGTGAGTGGCGCTGGGCACCCACAGGGTGATCCTCCCTCGTAGCAGCCCTGAGAAGGCCTCGGCCTGTCTGTGTTGGAGACCCCAGAGCTGGAGACACGGGGAATGCTGAGCAGCGGCACTGACCGCTTGAGGACCAACGTGACCAGACTGGGACTGCCGTCCCAGGGGTTCAGGAGGCCCAGCCCCTCTCCCCTGTGAGACTAGGCCGATGCCCTCCCAGGAGGGGTCTGCACCACACCTGGGCCACGGTTCAGGGCCCCCCCACCTGCCCCCCTCTACCTCCACATAGTCATTCTGCTTCCTCAGCTCCTCGTTGGCCAGCAGCTGGGTGATGGTGTGTGGCTCCTTCCCTGCAGGAGAGGGGGCGGAGAGCCAGGAGGGTAAGCTCTGAGCACTGTCAGGTGTGGGCAGGGAGCAGGCAGTGCTGGCCCGGCTGGGCACAGGCCACCCCATCTGTCCTTGGTGTGTGTGGTGTCTTCTAAGCAGTCCTCGGGGTGAGGGGGCGGGGGCTTCACGATCAAATATCAACTGGGCTGGTCTGGCAGTTTAACAAACCATGGGGAAGGGCTGGGCTGGGGAAGGGCACAGCGGATAGGGCGTTTGCCTTGCACGCGGCTGACCCGGGTTCGATTCCCAGCATCCCATATGGTCCCCTGAGCACCGCCAGGAGTAATTCCTGAGTGCAGAGCCAGGAGTAACCCCTGTGCATCACTGGGTGTGACCCAAAAAGAAAAAAAAAAGAAAACCAAGGGAGTTTTAAAAAAATTAGGGGGCCACCCCTGACAGCGCTCAGGGCTTACCTCCTGGCAATACACTCACAAAGAACATTTGTGTTGGGCTTGGGTGACCCTAGGGGGTGCTGGGGATTGAACCCAGGTCGGCTGCATGTCAGCCCACACTGTGCTACCTCACAGGTCCCTAAGGCATGTATCCTTGAACCATGACTATGGGGAGCAGCCTGGCTAGCTTCCAAGGACACCACTCCCAGGTCACATATCACCTGTAGGGGCTCGAGGAGGGTCCATGAAGACCAGGGGCACATTCTCTGCTGTTGGTCACTTGTCCCTGGCATGAGGGGAGTGATCTGACAGGTTAGCTTGAGTACCTCTGGACAGTGTTGTGTCCTGTACAACCCTTCTGCCTAGGTGCTTGGTCGAGTCATCTTTGGGCTGATTGCAAGTTTTAATGTGTGTGTGTGTAGGGGGGGCGGATGCCAGGGTCCACACACACCTGGTACTATTCAGGGATGACTCCCAACATAGTGCTCAGGGGACCATATGGTACCAGGGGCTGAACCCGTGAGTCCTGCATGAGAAAGCCTGGCTCAGCCTTTGAAGCCTCTCACTGGCCCCTATGCTTGAGCTCAGAGATGCCCAATTCAGTCATGAGGGAAGTGCTTTATACACAGGGTTCACGCTCATAACTCAGCTCCTGTGAGTGCATCCAGGGCCACGCCACTGCTGGGGGGAGGGGCGCACCAATGCTGGGTACAGGAGGCCTGTGGTGGGGCTGACGTTGTGTGCTAACAGGCGCCCGAATAGTGAGTCTGGGGATTCAAACCATAGCAGTGAGGGGGTGGAGATTTCCCCGCCAACACCCCCTCTTTCACTCGGGTCCCATGGCACAGGGCTGGAGTGATCGTACAGCAGGTTGGGGGCTTGCCTTGTGCCTGGTCAATCTGGGTTTGATCCCTGAGCACTGCCAGGTGTGGTCCAAATGAAACAAAAAAACAGTGCTGGGCACCATGTACACTGTGTCCACCTGAGAGTCCTTAAGATGAGCCGGAGGCTGATGTGCAGTGCTCAGGTGCTCAATCCACTGTCTCTGGGTAAACCCAGACACTAGCGTTGGCACACAGACCCCTGCCAAATTAACCCTGTGCTAATTTAAGTTTGTTTTCAGTTTTGGTTTGGGGACCACTCCCAGTGTGCTCAGGGGACCATATGGGGTGCTGGGGATTGAACCCAAGTTGGCCGTGTACAAGGCAAACACCCTACTTGCTATACTATTGCTTTGTGCCCCTGCAGTTTAATAAATTGGGGTAGCTATGGTTTGGGCCATGCCTGGACCTTTCGGGGGCTTGTTCCTGGCTCTGTGAACCATGTGGTGCCAGGGACTGAACCAGGCACAGTCACAGGTAAGGCAGATGTCTTCACCCCTGGACTCTGGCCCTCCTCGTGCCAGTATTTCGATTATCACTCAGTTCACACCCAGGGGGCCCAGATGGGGCCAGGGATGGAACCAGGGCCTTGAACATGCGCAAGCCTGCGCTTGACCACTGAGCCATCTCAATGGCCTTCCATGTGCTAAGTCTCCTTCACACACACATTCTGGCAGTTTCTCAGTTACCCCCAGAACTTTTTTTTCCCCTTTCTGAGTCACACACTTGCCAATGCTCAGGGGTTCCTCCTGGCTCTGCACTCAGGAAATTCCTCCTGGTGGTGCTCAGGGGACCATATGGGATTGCCAGGGATCGAACCCGGGTTGGCTGCATGCAGGGCAGACACTCTACTCTCTGTACTATTGCTCCTGCCCACCCCAGAATTTCTGACTGATATACACTGGTGGTCTCCTGGCCCCCAGGCAGCCCGGGAGGAGAACAAGACGCGCTCACCTGGGACACAATGCATTCATGCTCCCCAGAGACCATGATGGGAGGGGGCCTTGGGACCAGGAACTGGCTTACCGTTAGAAAGAAGCTGCTCCTCTTGGACCTCCTCAAACAGCTGCACATCCCCGTAGCCCTCATCCTTCTTCTCTTGAAATAGTTTGTAGCAGGAGCTGGGGCTGGCCAGGAGCAGACGGAAGTCCTGGGGCACGGAACAAGGAGAGTGGGCCGCACGCTTCTTCCCCTCCCACCCCTGCCAGGAGCTTCCCACGGTCTCCGGATGGAGCAGGGACACGTGTTGGCCAGCCCCCGGCACAGACCTTCTTGCCTTTGCTCTTGACCTCCGTGGGGACGAAGCACATGAACTCGTCGGGGTGGCCGACCATCAGCCAGTCCGAGAAGAGCTGCACAGGAGCCTGCACTTGCTGGGCGTAGAGGAAGTCCCGGAGGGCTCTGCTCATGTTCCGGGCCTGCTTGCTGGAGGGAGGGACCCACAGCCCCTGAGCCCGCACGACCCTCTCAGCCCAGGGGGACGTTCAGTACCCCCTCCTCAGCAGTAATATGCGCTTGGCACACAATGAGCCCTAGGGCTCCATCCACAACACGTGCACACACCCAGCCCCTCACTCCAGCCCCCAAGCACTTCCTGGTTTCAGACAAACAGCCACCAAGATGTCCAGCCATGCAGTTGTGGAGGAGTCCTGTTGGGCTGCTGGCCCTGAGCGTGGGAACCCCTGGACACATCTATCCAAGAGTGAACAGCTTGGGACCAGAGACATAGGACAGCCCATAAGGCACTTGCCTTATAGGAAGCGGAACCTGAGTTCAGTCTCTGGCACCCGACATGGTCCCCGAGCCCTGCCAGGCATGATTCGCAAGTGCAGAGCCAGGAATTAAGCCCTGAGCACTGCTGGCTGTGACCTCCAAAGGGACGAAAAGGATAGTCTTCTGCTTTCTCTACCAGTGATTCTGCGTTTTTTTCCCCCACCTTGAATCCTTTCTGGGGCTCCCCTCTCCCCAGTCCTACCAGGGGGTTCCCCTTGTCTCATAATGAGCTCCTCCATCTGTTTCTCCTGTGGCCCTTGGGAATGCCCTGTGGGCCCCAGCAGGAGTCCACCCCTTTGCTAAGCTATCCTGCCTCTCCTGGAAGGGATAGCCCAGAGCAGATGCCCTGCCGAGGGATCAGGGTAGTGGGCGGGGCGGGGCCCGGGGGAACCAGGGGTGTCTCCTTGCAGTGAGGGCCAGTGAGCCCACCTGGGGTAGAAGCTGCTGCCAAGCAGGATCCGGCCCAGCGGGTACTCCTTGCCTGCCACCTTGACAGGTGGGGACACCACCATGTTGCCAATGGAGTCCATGCTGGTCACCGTGTGGTCCTCAGTGTCGTGGATCACGTAACCGATCTCAGGGCTCTGGAGGGAGACCCCCGTGGGGCAGGGCGTTAGAAGGGCCAGACCTATGCCCCAGCCCGACTCCTACAAGCCTCAGACCTTCCCTCCCTGCCCCCAACCATGGGCCCTCTGGCACCCCTTCCCACGTGACGGGGTCCAGGTTACACATGCTGCCGCACCAAAGAGTATTTCATGGGGAAGTCTTCCGGCTTTTGGATGTGAGGGGTGTCGAAGGCCAAGGACAGAGTCTTGTGGGGAGCCTGGGTGTAGCAGAAGGCCACCTCATCCTGGGGACACAGAGGGACACGTGGTGAGGCCCATGTCCTCCCTTGACTGCCTGCAGCGGCGGGGGTGGGGGTGGGCAGAGAAGCCCCTCTTCCTGCCAGTGAGGGGGCTTGCCCGGGCTGGTTTGTTCCGTTGAAAGCTTGACTCCCCTGAATTTCTCCTTTACTCATCTTTGTGCACCCCAGTGTCTGATGACGTCCTGGGCCCTTACGGGGAAGCTTTCAGTTCCTCAGCCTCAACCAGAATACCTGCCTCCTCTCTCTCTTTTGACCCCTTTCCTCTTTGTCAGCCAGGGGACCATATGGGATGCTGGGAATCGAACCCGGGTCAGCCACATGCAAGGCAAACACCCTACCCGCTGTGCTATCGCTCCAGACCAAATCCCAAATCTGAGCACCCCCCACGGTCCCTTTCCCTGCCCCCGACTGGCTTCCGCTCCTTGGCATGAAGGGTCTGTAAGCTTAGACTGACCACATCCTCCTGCCCTGGCCTTCCCAGTCTGTTGCTCCAGCCTTCCGGCCAGCCGTCCCTCTGCCCAGCCTCTTCCCCATCTCTGTCCCCTGCTCCTGGCTTCCTGAACTGGAGAGCACTGGCTGGGGAGCACCGCCTCCTCTCTTTCACAGCACCTAGCACTCATGGCTGCAGCAGTGACAGCGGTCACCATTTCTCTGAACACTGGGACCTAGAAGGGTCCCTGGCCCCATGTGGCCACTCGACTTTGAGAGCAGAATGGGGCCCCCACTGCAATGTCGGTGGTGAGGGGGGGTGGTCTCCAGATTTTTCATTCTGCTGGGATCAGGCTCAGCCCTGGAGCTTGGTCCGAGCTCAGAAGTCGTCCACCACCTTCTCTTCCCCCCGGGCAGCTGTGTGGGGGGGCTCTAGGGTGTGGTCGGGAATGTACCTACTGGGGAGGAAGTGGACGAAGCCTCAGAGGCTGTCCAGGTGTGCCCAGAGAGCCAAGCCGCCTCTCCTCCTGCTGGGCTGGGAAGGGGGGAAGGCAGGCCCAGAGGGTGGTCTGCGGCGAGGGCAGGGGTGTGTTACCTGCAGCCACCTGCCCTGGCGGTTGAGGTCCTCGTAGACAGTTGCCACCTGGATGTTACTCCTCTCGCTCAGCTCCGTCACTGCATCTGCAAAGCCCTGAACCTGCAGCTGTCTGCGGGAGAGACACCCCCTCAGGGAAGGCCTCCAAGGCTTCCCTCTGCTGTGCCCCTGCAGTTAACACCAGCCCAGACAGGGGCCGGGCACACACACTTGGCACCGCACTCCTGGCAGTCAGGTCAGCCGCCAGGGTGAACTCTGTATGGGAGTCTGGAGCCTCGACTCAGCCCTACCTGCAGCCATACTCCACAGGCCACATAGAAGTTGGGAGTTTGGTGAGTGCCAGTAAGTTTTCATAAGTACAGGACTGGGGTCGAACCCTTGAATCTCAGAGCTGCGGGCACAGCCCCAGCCTGCGGGTTCAGTGCATCCAGATTCCTCCACTCCCAAATTTCATGGAACTCCTGGGGCTTTGTGACCCACCTTCTCCTGCTTCCCCCCAGAACCGAAGCTCCCTGTTCTGCTTCCTGAGGCAGCAGTACCACTGTTTCTCTCACTGCAGACCTAGAACCCTGGTACCCTCTTTGCATGTGTTAGCCTGTGTGTGTCAGGGGCGGGGGCGGGAGCAGGGAGTGTCCAACCACTGTACTTCTGCTCCATGCCTGGCTCACCTGTGGCAGTAGCCGAGTGGGCACCCTGGACTCTATCCTCTCCCTTTTTACGCTCGTAAGTTTGAAAACTATAGCACAGTGAGTAGTGAGTTTGCCTTGCACATGGCCAACCCGAGTTCGATTTCTCCGTCCCTCTCAGAGAGCCCGACAAGCTAACTAGAGTATCCCGCCTGCACGGCAGAGCCTGGCAAGCTCCCTGTGGCATCTTTGATATGTCAAAAACAGTAACAAGTCTCACAATGGAGACGTTATTGGTGTCCGCTCGAACAAATCGATGAACAACGGGAGGACAGTGCTACAGTGCTAAGTTTGGGAGCCAAAACTGGCAGTGCTGGGGCGGGTGGGGGGGCGGAGTTGCAGTCTCTGGATGCTCCTCACCACTCTTTCCCTTCACACTGCTTTCTGGCACCCCGTTTGGCCCCAAATCAGGCTGCAGACTTGTTTCCCAGTGGCAGAAGTGAGAGGTGGTGCATCTCACAGTCCAGCCTCAGCGTTCTAAGATCAGGCCCACAGAAGGGCCTTCTTGAGGGTAGAATGGGCAGCTTGGGAAGGGGAGGGAGGAAGCACTTCATATTCCTGGCTTGTGGCTGTACACCAGGCCCCCTGGGCCTCTGCAGCCTAAGGGCCGCTTACCTGCACAGGTACACCTCCAGCGGCATCTGGGTGCTGGGAGTGAAGATGCAGGGAGCCACTCGGAACACGACTGTGTCTTTATACACCACGGTTTCTGGAACAGACTGGGAGACGACAAGGTCCATCATCTTTCCTCACGGCTCTCACCTGCAGCAAGTTTAACTGCCCGTGCACCTGCTCTCTGCAGCTCTGCCCGTTCCAGGCAGTCGGAAACCCTCCCTCGACCCCTTTCTCCTCATCTCTTGGCCACACAGCCCCTGTGTCAGGACTGTTTAGGTACATACCGGGTCTTGAGACTTTTCTACAAGGGACATGGAGTAGGAGATCAGGCCGGAGAAGCTGTCAGATGGGAACTCGGTGGCTTCAACATAGAAAGTCTCGTTCCAGTTGTCCTCAAGGGTGGCAAAGGTGTAGGAGGGCTGACTGGACCAGAGAAGCATCTGATAGGCATCCGTGTTATCTTCCAGAAAGGACAGAGACAGGCCAGTTGGAGTCTGCCCCGCCCATCACTAGCCCTGATGCTTAAAGGCACCGACTTGATCACATTAGAAGCCACATCTGGATCTTGATCACATCTGGAAAGGCTGGGGCCATGGGACAGTGGGTAGGGCGCTTGCTGGCCTGCATGCAGACCCCCAGGTTCTATTGCCGCCATCATGTATGATCCCTGAGCACAACAGAGCCAGGAGTAAGTCCTGAGCACTGCCGGGGGTTGCCCAGAAAACAGAAGCCAGGCTGGAGGCTCCCGGCATGCAGAAGCCGACTAGCTTTTCAGACTGGTCCATGTGTAAGATTCTTACACTCCAACATCAACACTCTGGAGCAAAGATTCTGATGAACACTCCTCATCCTGTCAAGGGGCTTGCCTAGATAGCATCTTGGGGTTTCCCTTTGTGGACCTTTTTTGGGGTGCTGGGGGGGGAGTCTGCAGTGCCAGGGATCAACCCCCAGGGCTTCCCACATGCATTGTCTGCACTCGGCCCTTTGAGCCGGCTCCCTGACCCAAGGCAGTGGGTTTCGACTGCTAGTGGAGATTCAATCATTGCTGGGGTGGAGAGCACTCAATAGTTGGGTTGAAGCACATGCTTTGCGAGCGGGAGGCCCAGACTCAACCCCTGGCACTGCCTCTGTGTCCTGGAGCACCACTCAGCAACCCCTGAGCAACAAGGTGGGAGCATTTCTCTGAGCACCAAGTGGCTCTGAAATTACTGCTGCTGCCCATTTGGTTCGCTGGGGTCATCTAGCAGCACAATACGTTTTCAACAGGTTGGCAGGAAATTTTAGCTGATGCTGGGCCATGGACTGGTGGTTGAAGACCACTGTGCTAGGGCACCGTTTCTCATCAGGGGATTGCCACTTGGGCCGTCTTTGGGAGGTTGTCATCAAGTAGCCTTCAAGGTGAGACTGCAAAAGGGCCATGGCAGCCTCAGGAAAGTGTAGGCGAGGAGCGCCAGGGGGCTATGTTGTGTGTCGAAGGTTTCTGAAGAGGCAGACGGTAGCTCTTCATGGGAAACCTCTCGCTCTTGCTCCTTACATCATGAAACGGAAAAGAGGAGAGAGCAAGAGAACACACCCCCTTTGTGACAGCTGTCACCTTCACTCCAGCTCACACCCGTCCATTCCCCATCTCCAGGGGCCACCCTGCCCCAAAGCACCCGTTTACCCACCTGGACCACCAACTCCCTGCTTCCAACTCCCTTCTGCCTGGGCCCTGTCCCACTATGGGGCCTACTCACCAGGTGGCAGGGCAGACCCGAGGATGGAGATTCCTGTTTTAAACCTCTGTGCATGTTCTGAGCCAAGTTCTGGGTCACATGGCCTAGAGAGGGCCCAGCCATTGCATCTCAGACCTGAGCGTGGCAGGGACTGACTGCTGCCCTCTCCAGACCCCTGCAGAGGGTTGCAGTGGCCCTGGCATGGTTCTGGCTCACTGGGCACTGGCTGTGTATGGCGGCCACAGCAGTGGCAGCATAAGCTAGTTGGTAGAACATCCCTGAGCCTCCCCCTGGGCCCCGAGTACTACTTGGGAGAGCCCCAAAATAAGATGGATTCTAGACCCGTTGAAGGGGACACTCAGCGACAGCCCCCGACCCTCTTCCTCCCTGCATGGGTCTGCCAGTAACAAACCCCACCCCCCTCACCAACATGGATTCTGGGATGCTGCCCAGGTCTCCAGTCTCCACTGCCATCACTACTTTCACACAGACCAGTTAGTGGGCTCCCTCCTTTGACTCTTTCAGTGAACTGGAGCCCGAAGCACTTCCTCTGCAGTGCTGAGACACGGCTGGCTCGGAGCCCTGTGCTGGCCAGACACACGAACATCTTCCAGTGCTGTGTTTGTTTGGTGGACCACAGCTGGCTGGGCCCAGGATCACTCCTGGAAGTGCTCGGGGGAAACTATGGTGCTGGGGATTGAACTGGGGTTAGCTGCATGCAAGGCCAATGCCTGAGCCCCGTCCTGTCCCCTCTCTGTGGTTCCCTGCTAACTCCCGCCCCCCCCCCCACTCGTCACTCCTCAGCTCAGCCCCCAAATTCTCCATCAATCCTGGGTCTCCCACATGTAAAACACGTAGCTTCAGCCTATGATCCTGCCAAGTCCCAGTCACGGAATGCTTAAAAAAATGTTTTTAACGTGTGTTTATGATGAGTAGATGATTTGATGCCTATTTTACACCCATAGTCGTGTAAAGAGGTCTCAAATGAAAAGGTGCTGCAAGTGGAAACCGCATGAGAAGCTCTGCTCTAGGGAGAAGTGACGGGCCACCTGCTGACCAGACCGACAGGGGCTGCAGATGGGCCTGGATGGACATGCCAGCACAGCCATCACTCTGCTTTTTTCCCTCTTTTTGGGTCATACCCGGCGATGCTCAGGGGTTACTCCTGGCAGTGCACGGGGTACCATATGGGATGCTGGGGATCGAACCTAGGTCAGCCACATGCAAGGCAAACACCCTACCCGCTGTGCTATCGCTCCAGCCCCCACTCTGCTTTCTTGGCTTTGGAACTCTGTGAAAGTCTGGGTTAAGATTTCTGGCTGGAGGTACAAAGGTCAGATCAAAGTGTATTAAACACCTCCGTATCAGACCCAAATGCATAAGGTACATGGAGGAAAATGTAAGCAGAATCCTCCGAGACATGGAAGCTAAAAGCATCTTTAAGAATGAAGCAGCACTGACCAAGCAAGTGAAAGCAAATGGGACTACATTGAACTAAGAAGATTCTGCATCTCAAAAGAAACAGTGACGAAAATACGGAGAGAACCCACATAATGGGAAAGAATATTTACCCAATACCCATCTGATAAGGGATTAATATCCAGGATATACAAGTCACTAGTAGAATTGTACAAGAAAAAACCTCCAACCCCCATCAAAAATGGTAAGAAATGAATAGAAGTTTCCTCAAAAAAGAAATGCAAATGGCCAAAAGGCACATGAAAAAATGCTCCACATCGCTAATCAGGGAGATGCAGATCAAAACAATGAAATATCTCACACCACAGAAACTGGCACACATTTAAAAGAACAAAAGCAACTAGTGTTGGTGCGAATGTGAGGAGAAAGGGACTCTCATTGTTCATGGGAATGCTGACTGGTCCAGCCTTCTGGAAGATATAGGTATTCCTTCAAAAACTAGAAATTGAACTTCCATATGGCCCCACAATACCACTTCTGGGATTATGTCCCGAGGGTGCAAAAAAGCACAGTAGAAATAACATCTGCACCTGTATGTTCATTTCAGCACTGTTCACAATAGCCAGAATCTGGAAACAACCCGAGAGCCCGAGAACAGATGACTGGTTAAAGGAACTTTGGTACATCTACACAATGGAATACTATGCAACTGTTAGGAGAGATGAATAAAATTCCCTTATAAGTGGATTGACATGGAGAGTATGCCAAGTAAAATGAGTCAGAAAGAGGGACAGACATAGGACTGCACTCATTTATGGAACATAAAATAACATAGTATGAGATTGACACCCAAGGTCAGGAGACACCAAGGTCAGGGATATTGCCCAATAGTTGGAAGCCTGTCTCATGAGCTGGGGAAGAAGGCAGCTGGAATAGAAGGGGCCACTAAGTCAATGATGGTTGGAGGGACCATTCAGGATGGGAGATGTGTGCTGAAAGTAGACAAATGTGATAGCCTCTCAGTATCTATATCACAAACCAGAATGCCCCAAAAGCAGAAAGAGTATGGGGTAAATTGTCTACCATAGAGGCAGAGGGAAGTTCAGAAAGTGTGGGGGCATATACTGGGGACATTGATGGTGGAGAATGCACTGGTGGAGGGATGGTGTTTGATCATTGTATGATGGAAACTCAAACATGAAAGCTTAACTATCATGTTGATTCAATAAAAAAAAAATTCTAACAGGTGGGGCCTGAGAAATAGTATAGGACATTTCCTTGCATCCTTCCAACTCTGGTTCGTGTCTCCAGAACCACACATGGTCCCCCCCAAAGCACCATCAAGGGTCACTCCTGAGCACAGAGTCAGGAATAACTCCTGAGAGCATTGCTGGGATGGCCCTCACCCACCCTCTCAAGAGATGCTTCTGGCAGTAATTGGGGGCTATCCCTAATCTGTAAGGCAAGGGTGTTCTATTCATATTCCTGCTCATCCCTGTATAAAACCCTGGAGGGGGCTGTAGTGAATAGTACAGCAGATGGGGGGCTGGATAGTACAACGGGGGCTTGCCTTGCACACAGCTGACTCAGGTTCAATCCCCAGCATCCTGTGTATGGTCTGGACATCACCAGGAGTAATTCCTGAGTGATACTCCGAAGTAACCTCTCAGTATTGCTGGATGTGGCCCATAACCAAAAATAAGACCCTGTAGGAGGACCAGATAGTAGAACAGGCAGGGTGTGTGCAGCCAATCTGGGTCCTATTCCAGGAACCTCACGTATGTTCACACCCTAGGTTGATCCGTGATCACAGACCCAGGATTCAAGCCCGAGCAATGCCAGGTGTGACCCCAAAACAAAACAGTGTAGGAGACACACCCTCATAGCCCCAAGGGGATCCTGGTGTGGCCCACACATGCTCACTGGGTCTTTGGAGCAGGCAGAGGCCTGGCCACAGCACACCCGGATCTATGGCCTCCGATTTCAGCAGGTCCCCAAAGGGGAGTGTGGTCACCCCTTGAGGAAGAGCAAAGGGATGGGAGCCCAGGCCGTGGACACTCACTCAGGCACCGGTAGACACGCGTCCTCTCGGCCTCCTCTGCGGAGGTGTGGAGAACCAGCTGGTAGCGCTTCAGAACATCACTGGGCCCCTGCACTGTCAGCATCATGGGGGAAAGGCTCTTCATTTCTGGGCGAGACAAGGCAAAGGTCAGGTGCTTCCAGAGGTCTGCGCTGTGGGTGGGAGCATCCCCACTCAGCTCACACTTCTCAGCTTACACCAGGTCTGCTTAGACAGGCACATAACCAACTTCCCCGCCTCCCCGCCCCCCCATATTGGAAGGACGGGGGTTACACTAGCAGCCCTGGAGACCAAACCTGGGCCTCCTGCATGCAAAGCCTGGACTACAGCTTTTTTTTTCCCCCCCTTCTTTTTGGGTCACATCCTGGCTCTGCACTCAGGAATTACTCCTGGCAGTGCTCGGAGGACCATATGAGATGCTGAGAATTGAACGAGTCAGGCACGTGCAAGGCAAACGACCTACCTGCTACACAATCGCTCCAGCCCTGAACTCCAGCTTCTTACTTCAGCTCTTTGAGCTGAAGGACACTTCCGCCCACCTGGCTATGTCATCCCAGGGATGCAAAGAACAGGGCCCGACACGCACTGCTTAGCCAAGGGTCCTTCCCCTCTAGCCTCGAGGGGAGGCAGGACACCCTGTTCTATTGCTGAACCCTGGAAGCCAGGTTACTACAAGCCAGGGCAGACCTCACACTGCTTTGGCCCACAGGCAGGGCTCCGGCTGGCCCAGGCTGCATGCGATGCCCCCCATCCCGTGTTCTCAGTCTACTCTACCACCGTGTGAGGCAGCTCTGTTGGCTCATTTCACAGGTGACAGGATGAGGCTGGGGGGTATGCAAGGTGTGTTATCAGAGCTGGGTCATCCCATGGGCCTCTTCCTCAGACTCTGAGCATCCAGTATACGTGGGGGCCTTGCTCATCCCAAGGTAGGACTTGATCTGAACCCCAGGAGGAGAGGGCAGCGGGGTCTCCCTCACCCTCTGGAAGGAACACTGTGGTGGTGGTGATGAAGCCTGACTGGTGGCCCAGGTTGGGGGAGTTGCAGTTCACAAGCAGGACGGCACCCCAGCCATTGGGGCCCCACACCCAGTTTTTCTGTGAAAATAACAGACATGCAGGCATGTTGGTTTGCGTAGAAGCTGAGAACCCCTTTGCTCCCCCCCTTTCTGGGTAGAATCCCTTTTTCTGCAGGATCACCCTGGACCCCACCTCTTCCGGGCAGAATCCCCCTTTCTGTGGGGTCACCCTGGGTCAGAATTCACCAGCTCCTCTGCCGACAGAGACAAGGAAGCAGTGTCGGGCAGATGGGGCAGGAGGGAGGGAATGGTGGGATTTGGTTCCCCTCCTGGTCTCAGGAAAAGCAGGGACTGGGAGACCTGAGCCTAGAGCTGGACACAAGTTTCTGACAAAGTGGATCCTTGGTTCCCTGGGTTATAGGACTGGACTTGGACACGATGAAGGAGGGAGGGGTCAGACGAACTCACCTTAGCCTTCTTGTCACTGGTCATCTCCACATGCCCAAGGCGGTAGATGTCCACGTCCAGGGAGATGACTGAAACAGGGGGCCAGATCTCAGTCACCAGCCCCGTGGTCAGCTCAGTCCATGAGCTGCTGCCTCCATGAGTGCAAAATCCAGTGGCTGCGTCTTTGCAGGGGGCCAGGCAGCCACCATCTCCCCACCTTCCCAGAGGCACAGAACAGCCACTGCAGTCATGAGGCCTTAGGGGAGGAGGGAGACTGTCCCTCAACCCGGCGACACCTCCCTGATTTTTCTGGAAGGCTAGAGAGAAGCCTACATCACATCCATGCAGAGCACCGCTCCTTGGCATAGTCACTCTAAGCCCCTTCAGAGCCGAAGGATTCAGGCTTCCACCAAGCCTCCTGCTCATCCCCTCATGATTGACCTCAAGACTGTCACCCGGCTTGTTTTCCCTTCCTCACCCTTGTGTGATGAGACAGTTCACACCTGGGAGGTTAGTCCTGCCTGCTGTTGTATGCCCAGCCCTGGCTTCACACATGTCCAGGGAATGGAGACCCACTGAGACAGGGAGCACTGCTCAAGAATGAATGGATGAGGCAGGCAGAGGGAGCTCACAGCAGAGGCCCTTGGGTCCTGGGACATGGGTGTGTGGTGGGCTCAGAGGCTAAAGGAAGAAGTCACGTGCACGCAATTGTGTGAGTGTACGGAGGATGATGGGGAGCAAGGACACAGGTGGAGTGGAGGGACTTCCTGGTCAGCTCAGCAGCCTTGAAGGTCAAACAGGGCTGTGGGCAGAGACCCAAGGAGCCAGGAAGAGAGTCCATTTAACATCCAGGACCAAAGCAGTTAGGGCGGAGGGTGGCGGGAAGGACGGGGCTGTTCTGTGCTGGGCAGGGGTGGGAGGGTACATTTGGATGGGGGTGGTGATCCCGTCCTCCTAGAACAAAGTCAGGGAACACAGGTGCGAGGTGTCATGTATAAGGAGGCCCACATGCCCAAGGCAGAATGTGTGAGGGGAGAAACTGGGCACAGGGTAGAGGCAGCAAGGGCGGCCCTGGCTCATGTGGGGGTCCTGGTGGATTTGTACTGTAGAGATGACACCTGACTTGTATTCTATATTCACCAGGGGTCTAGTGGGGGCTGAACCTTAGCGTAAAAGGGGTCCCCCACCCTGCACCCATGAAAGATGTGAGACACAGCTGGACTCTGGTGAAGCTCAGAGGCCTCTGATCCACAGGCCTCATGCACTGACCAGGGCTGACAGAGAGGGATGCCTAGGGTTGGGGACTGGCCAACCAGAAAGGATGGAGGGGACACGGGATGGAAGGGGTGAGAGGAACAGCCAGCTGGGCAGATCCCACGTATTCTGGGGTTGCACTGGGAGAGGCTAAGCCCCCTGAGGGGGGAACAAGGCATGCAGACAAAGCTCTAGGTAACCATGTCCAGGACCACGGTCACCTAGGGTTCCAGCTATGAGGCCTATGTTGGGGACAGCTGTGCGGTTTGAGTAGGCTGCACAGAGGGGAGACAGAAAGGGGGGAATGGTGGAGTCTGACCAGAACTAAGTTTAAGATAACAGGCAGATATTTGTATATAAACAGCCTTTAGGCCTTTGGAAGGAAAAGGTGTGACTGCCGCTTGTTCTGGAGAGGGCTAGTGGCTTTCCAGAGCAATAGGAATAGCGGGTGGAATGTTCTTGAATGAATGAGGGGACAGGATCTAGGGGCATCAGATTGATAGGCACGGGGAAGCTGACGGGGGCATTGGCGAGAACATGGGCAGCAACAGTGCTGGACTCAGCTCATCAACAGAGAGGAGACTCACCCCTGCGGGCACCTGTAAGGGCATATCCATAGTGTCCACCCAGGACTGTCACAAGCAGCCTACCTACAGGGTGCCCCCTCCCCCCAACACCCCGTCTTGTGGGAGCAGGACTCACCAATGCCTGTGAGGTAGAGCACCGCAGTGGCCACTGGTTCCTCATTATCAAGCACAAGGTAGGAGACCAGGACCTGTGGAGCGAGCAAGCACCCGGGCTCAGTCCTTGCCTCACCTGCCCGTGGCTGGCTGTGCCATGGGGCAAGGAGCTGGAATTCAGAACCCACCCCCGCTCACTTCTCCAAAGGGAGCTCTCAGTCCCATTGGAGAAGGCTCGAATCCCCAGAGTCAGGATGTCAGGGAACTGGCTGTTGTCTAGTCAGAAAGGTGTGGCCAGCCCTCCCTGGGACCCTGCCCATGAGGCGGCCAGCCAGGGGGCTTTGCCACTTGGTCCAAGGAAGGCCCCCTGGGGCGAGGACTGGAAGTGGAACTTTGACCTGGGTCCCCACCAGCCACTCCTCCCCACCCCCCCAGGGTCCTTTGGACAGAACAGTGCCAGCCCCTTCTCTCAGGGGCCCTGACATGGCCGCTCGCTCCTCCATAGATGCTTTTGTCCTTGACATCCAGCCCCTGACTGGCTAGGCCACTCCTGGGGGTGGAGCCAGGGCAGAGAAACTTCACGAACTCAGCCTGCCCTCAACACTGCCTTTCCAGCCACCCCAAGGTCATTTTTTCAGCTTTCGGGCCACACCTGAAGGTGCTCAGGGGGTGCTCCTGGCAATCACTTTTTTTCACCAAACTTTTTTTATTGAATCACTGAGATAGACCCTTACAAAGCTGTTTATGACTGGGTTTTAGTCATATAGTGTTCCAACACCCATCCCTCCACCAGTGCACATTTCCCAGTACCAGCATCTGTCCTGGATGTCTATGGGTGAGGAGCTGGGGGTATTACCAGGGGTGCAGGGTGGCTAGCGCCGGCTCCTTGCCTGGGCGGCCTGGGGGTGATGTGGGAGCTGGGGTTTACCTCGATGGGCCCTGATGGGAGGGCCCATCACCCCCCCCCCCCCGCCTGCCTCTATGGCAGGCGTTTCTCTCTCCTTTTGGGCATTGTGACTTGGCACTCACCCTTAATGGGCTCTGGGGAACCACATAGGGTGCCAGGGATTGAACCCAAGTTGGTCAGTTGGTCATGTAAAAGGCAAGTGCCCCACCTGCTATGCTGTCGCTCCAGCCCCATAGAGTGGCTCCATTCTCGAGTATCCTGCCCTGGGTGGAAGGTAGCACTTGACACCCTCTTCCACTCCTTGATCAACTACACTCAGGTCACTTGGGCAAGTGTCCCAAGTCCTGAGCAGGCCTCAGTGGTCCCCACACTCAGCTGGAAACCACCTGAGAGTGATCTAAGAGTGGGCTGCCATGAGGCTGATTGCATCAGGAGGAGGCGTGGCCTGCCACTGGTTCGAATCTCTGCAGGAGAGATTGCTTCCATCTGCTAAGAGAAAGTCCCCTCTCTTGCTCACAGGAAGCACGATAGGGAGACAGCTTTCGCAGAACCAAGCCCTGATTCCACCCACTCATTACACGCCAGGCAGATCCCCTGGGGCCTGTTTCCTTGGATGTAAATGGATGGGTGTGGTTAAGCAGAGCTTTTGCACCGTGACCTGTCAGGGTATGAGCCGTAGCATCCTTTTAACCTGTGGGGCACTTAAGCCTTGTCAAGATCTGCACAGCCAGGGCTGGAGTGCACGCCTTGCCTTTGGGAGGTCCGGGTTCAATCTCTGGTCCCAGGAGTGGCACCCCCTGCCGCCATAAGAGAGCTCTACATTCTAGGACTGGGGAGGTGGTTGGTGGTAGAGCACCTGTGAGGCCATGAGTTTAATTCCCCCCACATTACCCTTGCCATCGCCCCCTAAACCCCCCCCCCACAAAAAATAGTTTCCAAAGACCAGCCTCAGGAAGGAACGAGCTTGAAACCAAGCCCAGAGCCCTTGCAGGGAGCCCACGAGGAGTGACAGGTGTTTGGAATTCTGCAAATCAGTTTGGGCGTGACCTCAATTTACCTGTGAAGTGGGTTGTGCCTCCACCACCCGCATCAAGCACGATCCCAAACACCAACACGTGGCCTGTGGCTGCTCATTTTGGGGCCGGGGGCAGGGAGGGTCCCCCTCTCCTGCTTACCTTGTCTCCGTCCAGGACAGTGCTGGGAGAGGTCATCTTCACCAGCACGTCTATGGACTCACACAGGGGCCAGTGGGTTATGGTCCTCTCCTCCTCCTTGCTACTCATATCCATGATGGGGCTGTGCGGACAGACCGTTACGCCAGGAGTGCAAGTGACGGTGAAGAACTGGCACTTCTTCGGGGCACACCTGTTCACCCACAAGGACACAGACTTCAGGGCCTCGGACTCGCCTTCCTGCTGACCGTGAACCCGCCCCGGTGGGCACAGACCCTCATCTTTTTCCTAGAGGGACACACCCAGGGGTTCTTGGAGGGGGCAGTTTCTGGCACAGTACTCAGGGGCCCAGGCGGTGCCCCCTGCCCTGCCAGGAAGCAGGCCCAGTGTCCCTACTTTGCACTACCCCCCTGGTCCCCTTCATCTTTCAGGGAACTGAGGCAAGGGCCTGCTGACAGGACAGTTACAGGGCTGGGGCTCCTAAATGAAGTTGTCTAGCAAACCCCTCTAAGAAAGATGCCCCTTGAGTCCCTAGTTCTGCAGCCTGACCAGCGGAGACCATCCTGTAGCAATATCAGCTGTGCCCAGAGACCTCTGGAGGCCCCGCCGAGCTCCACTCCCAGAACTCCTGGTCCCTCACCTCCCAGCATGAACTTGTCTCTGGGAAGCAGGAACTTCCCACCCTGTGCTGCCCAGAGACAGTTAAAAGGCTCTCCTAAGACTGTGTCAGCGGGGTTCTCTTTGGTTGGGCTCCCTCTGGAACCCTCTAAAGCTACAGCCTCACTCCTCTCTCAGTTGCCATGTGCCTGAGTCAGGAGGGATCCCTGGGAGAAACAAACGCACAGTCCAGCCTGGGGGTGGGTCTGGACAGGCCCTCCTCTGGGAGCTGGGAACCCCCCACCTCCGCCCAGGACCTGCAGCGGAGCAGTCTTGGCCCTATCCCTGAGAAGGAGAGACCCTCTGGGGAGAGGCGAAGGATTCCCTTCGCACGGGGCAGCCCTCAGAGGCCCCGGCCAGGTTCCGTGAGACAAACCCAGAGAGGTGGACAGACAAGGTAAACCCCAGCTCCCACATCACCCCCAGGCCGCCCAGGCGAGGAGTCGGCGCTAGCCGCCCTGCACCCCTGGCAATGCCCCCAGCTCCTCACCCATAGACATCCAGGCAGATTTCCATGCCCTGCACACAGAGGGAGTGGGCAGGCCTGTCCAGAGACAGGCGGATGTGACTCTGCAAGGACATGGCGTGGCACCCACACGGTTCACCCTCTCGCCCTCTGCTCTGCCACCCCCGGCTCGACACAGCAGCGTCAGGAGCCGGAGGGGACCGGCCACCTCCTCTCTTATGGGTGCAGGGTCTCTGTGGCCCGCCCCCTCATTGAGGAAGCAAGAAGGCCACAGGTGAGAGAGGTTTTCTCTGCAGCTGGAGGGGAGGAGGCCAGGGGAGAGAGCTGGGGTCCATGGAAAGCCCACAGCACGTTGGCTCTTAGGGTCTGCAGCTGGGAGCCAGTTGGGGGGGGACTCTGGAAGCCGGCAACCCGCTGACCTACTTTGCTGGGGTGTGGGGGGATGCTTGGGCTGGATGGTGTCAGAGAGCAGGACTTAGGGAGGACTGCACTGTGGTCAGGTTGGCAGCCCGGGGCCTGGGTTAGAAGGTGTGTGTTTCTAGAAGTCCTGATAAGCTTCCTCTCTACTGCTTGCTAGTAATGATGAAGAGAGCTCTTTTAGGCCACACCTGGCAGTGCTCAGGGGAATTGATGGGGTACGGGAGATCCAATCCAGGTCAGCTGTTTGTGCAGGGAAAGCGCTATACCCGCAGTACCAGCACTCCAGCCTCTGTCATTGCTGCTGTTTGTTTGTTTGAGGAAGGTCTTTCAAGCGGCACATCTCTGAACCTGGCAAGTCCTGGGGGTGTGGATCGGGAACTCGGGTTCCAGCACCCCTGGGCTGACCAGGCCTGGGTATGCTATATTCAGACCAACTGGGAGAGTGTGAGGAACTGAATGGAGGGAGGTGCCCCAGCTGAGTGAGATGATAAACAAGAGCACTGCTCCGGCCGGACCCACAAACCATGTTTGTTTGTTTTATTGTTTTTTTTTTTTTGAAGAGGGGCATATCCAGCAACTCTCAGGGATCACTCCTGATGGTGCTTAGACTATATGGGATGCTGGGGATTGAATCAGGGTCGGCTGCAGGCAAGGCAAGCGCCCTTCCTGTTGTACAATCTCCTCAGTCCCGTGAACCATGTTTTAAGCGTGGGTCATGGTTCTCAAATTGGCAGCATCTGTGCATGGTCCACATTCAAAGGGGACACGTGTGTGTGCGTGTGTGGGGGGGTTATAAGAGTTTCCTGCCTGTGATGACTCTGACTCTTATCCATGTGGTGCCTTGTATGGAGGCACTGCCCGGTGTCCCTTCTATGTCATTGTGACCATTGCGTGCCTCCCCCTCCTGCCTTCCCTTTTTTTTTTTTTTGCTTTTTGGGTCACACCCGGCGATGCTCAGGGGTTACTCCTGGCTCATGCACTCAGGAATCACTCCTGGCGGTGCTCGGGGGACCATATGGGATACTGGGAATCGAACCTGTGTCGGCCATGTTGGCTGTGTGCAAGGCAAACGCCCTACCCACTGTGCTATCGCTCCAGCCCCCTGCCTTCCCTTTTTATCAGAACAGACATGATGCAAGAGCGACCCAGCCTTCTGTAGCTTTGCTCACTCACAGTCTCACGCAGGCAGAAGCTGCCCATCTCTGTTTCCTGTCCATATCCTGGTCCACAGGGGCTGAGCCAGCTCCCACCTGCACTGTGGGTTTCAGTCCTTTGTGCCCCCCCCCCCCCTCCCCGCCATGAGGTGTGGTGACAAGAAGTCTGAGGCTAAGAGTGTGGAGAGAAGAGTGAGCACTTAGTGAAAGGTGCTCAGCGAGACCTGCTCCTTAGACTCAAATTTCGAAGTAAAATGAGCCTCCCCAGTGGCTTCTAAGCACACAGCAGTAAGGGTCATCACGGCTTTGTTTTGGGGGGGGGATTCGGCCAGGAAGGCCCTAACAATTTATTTATTTATTTTTATATTTATTTATTTTTTGGAAAGGTAAAGGCCCTCCCGTTGATCGTCGATTTGCTCGAGCGGGCCCAGTAACGTCTCCATTGGAGACTTTGTTGTTACTGTGTCTGGCATCTCCCGGGCTCTCCGAGAGGGGCGGAGGAATCGAACTCGGGTCGGCCATGTTGGCCGCGTGTAAGGCGATCGCCCTACCCGCTGTGCTATCGCTTTGGTTTTTGGGTCACACCCGGCGATGTACAGAGGTTACTCCTGGCTCATGCACTCAGGACTTACTCCTGGCGGTGCTCAGGGGACCATATGGGATCCTGGGAATCGAACCCTCGTCGGTCGGTGAAAGGCAAACGCCCTACCTGCTGGGCTATCACTCCAGCCCCAACGATTTATTTATTTATTTTTAAATTTTGGCAGGTGGGGCATGGGTAAGCTATTGCGCTACACCAGGTGGTACTCAGGGTTTAGTCCTGGTTCTGTGCTCACTGATCACCCCGGGTGGGACTCGGAGGACCATGTCGGGGTGTTGGGGTCAGCTGCAAGGCAAGCGCTTTCCCCACTGTGCTTTTGCTCTAGCTCCTCTTCTGTTTGGGTTGAAGGAAGCAGAAGCTGCTCGGAGTGTACCCATTCTCGCTCCAAATGCTTGCCCGGTTCTTCTCTCTGCTCTAGCACTGGGGAAAGACACCGAGAGCTGGGCTCTGGGGCAGAACGGTGTGGAAGTACTGTCCCTCCCCACCCTGGCTGGGCTCTGTCTAATGAGGAGGCACCGCAGCCTGGTGGGTGGAGGCTCTCCTGGGTGTGAAGGAGCTTGGCGAGATCTCCAGGGGCCCTTGCTCTGCTCTGGGGCTTCCTGCTCACAGCAGCTCCAGCATCCACGAGAGTCCTGGAACCAGCTCCCTGAAGATACCAGGGGTCAACTCTTTTTTTTTTTCGATTTTTGCTTTTTGGGTCACACCTGGTGATGCATAGGGGTTACTCCTGGCTCTGCACTCAGGAGTTACTCCTGGCGATGCTCAGGGGACCATATAGGATGCTGGGAATCGAACACCGGGTCGGCCGCATGCAAGGCAAATGCCCTACCCGCTGTGCTATCTCTCCAGCTCTAGGGGTCAACTCTTGGGGGATCCTGGGGGGAGTTGAGGTTGAACGCGGAGCTTTGACTATTGCAGAAATCACCACCCGTGGACCCTCCCATTGCTCTGGGCCCAAATTCGACAACAAAACTACAGAGGGGCTCAGTCTTTGTCCCACAGCCTCCAGGCTCATGCTGGTCTGGTCGGCAGTTGGAAGCAGTTTTCAACACTGTTTTTAGCAAGAATATAATATACTCTGAGGGGTGAGGGGGTGGGCAGTCCTCTCTCTCCCTCCAAGGCTTACCACCAACTAGACCATGGAAGAATTTTAATTTATTTTTTTGCTTTTTGGAGCACACCTGCGATGCACAGGGGTTATTCCTGGCATCGAACCTGGGTCAACCACGTGCAAGGCAAATACCCTACCCGCTGTGCTATCGCCCCAGCCCCAAGCATGGAAGAATTTTTATACCAATTAGAAGCCCTGGGAGCAAATGGTGCAGTTAGGCCTGTGAACTCCACATACCCTGACGACGAGGGAGTGAATGGAAGTGGAACCCCCCACCCCGCCACGTGACTATGATACTTTACTGCAGCTTCTGACAGCAGAGCTGAGTTTTGCAATGCGAGGACCATGATGTGATTTCCAGAGGGGACCCTGGGGGTCGAGGGACCCTCAGGAAAATGCAGAAAGCCATCCCTAGGAGAGTGAGCATCCAGGGATCCAGAGATGTCCATGAGAGCTTTTGCTGTGCCCAGGGCAGTGACTATAGTCTCTGGTTGGGAGCTTCTGGGGGAGGGAGGGAGTGGTGGGGGCTCAGGGCTCCATGTGCCACCACTTGAAGGGGAAGGGCTTCCGGCGCACATTGGTGCCGCAGTGCACCTCCCCGTGCCGGATGTGGTAGGCGTAGTAGTCGTCAATGAAGGTGCAGTGCAGGCCCAGTGGCTCCAGCAGCGCCCGCACCTTCTCCTCCAGGCAGCAGCGGCCGTTGATGACGGGTCCGAAGGGCTTGGGGATGCCCAGGTGCTGGCCCAGCACCAGCATGTTCACCTGCCGGGGGGTGGGACAGGGTCAGCACCGATGCTTCCTCGGCTGCCCTCCCTCCCTTTTCTTTCCACTGAAAACATTATTACCGATTCCGCCATCTCGGAATGGACCTCACCGTGATATGATCTGCTGAAAATTCCGATATGTGGGTTTTGTGACTGAAATCTCCAGGCTTTCTCGGGGTCGTGATAGGTTACCTTCTCCCCACCTCCCTGTTCTTCCGGAAGCCCTGGCAGTCACCTTCACACCCCAAAGCTTCTACTCAGTTAAAAAAGCTACTCCAGACTTACCTTCCTGATAAAAACACTGAATCCCCTGAATAAACATGATGACCTCTTAGTACCTGTATTGCAAACCATTATGCACAGAAGGAGAGAGAGAAGAAAAGTGCATGCCATAGAGGCAGGCTGGGTGTGTGTGTGTGTGTGTGTGTGTGTGTGTGTGTGTGTGTGTGTGTGTTGGGGGATGATGGGAAGGAAATGGGGGACATTGGTAGTGGAAAATGTACACTGGTAGGGGGATGGGTGTTGGATCATTGTATGACTTAAAAAATTATCAAAAAAAATAAAGTGACAAACTCATTATCTGCACTATTATTTTTACTATTATCAGATTTGGGATCATACCCAACAATGCTCAGGGCTTACTCCTGGTCTGCACTCAGGACTTATTCCCGGTGGTGCTTGGAGGACCCTATGGGATGCCGGGGATCTAGGGCAACTGTGTGAAAGGCAAGTGCTCTACATCTCTGGCTTTTAAAATTATTTAAAAAAATTCTTAGAGTGGGATGGAGCAATAGTACAGAGGGCAGCGGGTAGGATATTTGCCTTGCACACACTCAACTTGGGTTCGATTCCCAGCATCCCATATGGCCCCCTGAGCACTGCCAGGAGTAATTCCTGAGTGCAGAGCCAGGAGTAACCCCTGAGCATCACTGGGTGTGATCCAAAAAGCAAAAAAAGTTCTTGGGGTACATTCAGGCAGGAGCTACTCTTGGCTCTGTGCTGGGAGTCTCTGAGATGCTGGGGATAGAGGCGTGGCTCCGGCGTCCTAAGCCTGTACTCAGACAGC